CTCTCTGTCTGTCTCTGTCTCTCTGTCTCTCTCTCTGTCTGTCTCTGTCTCTCTGTCTCTTTCTCTCTCTCTCTCTCTGTCTCCCTGTCTCTTTCTCTGTCTCCCTGTCTCTCTCTCTCTCTGTCTCTGTCTCTCTATCTCTCTCTGTCTCTGTCTGTCTCTCTCTGTCTTTCTCTGTCTCTGTCTCTCTGTCTTTCTCTGACTCTCTCTATCTCTGTCTCTCTGTCTCTCTGTGTCTCTGTCTGTCTCTGTCTCTCTCTCTGTCTGTCTCTGTCTCTCTGTCTCTTTCTCTCTCTCTCTCTCTGTCTCCCTGTCTCTTTCTCTGTCTCCCTGTCTCTCTCTCTCTCTGTCTCTGTCTCTCTATCTCTCTCTGTCTCTGTCTGTCTCTCTCTGTCTTTCTCTGTCTCTGTCTCTCTGTCTTTCTCTGACTCTCTCTATCTCTGTCTCTCTGTCTCTCTGTGTCTCTGTCTGTCTCTGTCTCTCTCTCTGTCTGTCTCTGTCTCTCTATCTGCCTCTGTCTCTCTGTCTCTGTCTCTCTCTGTGTCTCCCTGTCTCTCTCTTTGTCTGTCTCTGTCTCTCTGTCTATCTCTGTCTCTGTCTCTCTCTGTCTCTGTCTCTTTGTCTCTGTCTCTCTCTGTCTCTGTGTCTCTGTCTGTCTCTGTCTCTCTCTCTGTCTGTCTCTGTCTCTCTATCTGCCTCTGTCTCTCTGTCTCTGTCTCTCTCTGTGTCTCCCTGTCTCTCTCTTTGTCTGTCTCTGTCTCTCTGTCTATCTCTGTCTCTGTCTCTCTCTGTCTCTGTCTCTTTGTCTCTGTCTCTCTCTGTCTCTCTGTCTCTGTCTGTCTCTGTCTCTCTCTGTCTCTGTCTCTCTGTCTCTCTCTCTGTCTCTCTCTCTCTCACTCTCTCTCTCTCTCTCTCCCTCTCTCTCTCTGATCTTCTTAGTAAGATTCAACATCTGCAGCTCCAGAAACTGCAGACTAACACGTGCCCACCTATGGGACCATTCATTCCATTCTCCTCCTGCTGCCAAAGATGCACCTAAGGGGAGGGGGAAGGGAGGAGTTTCCTGCTCCTTCCGTGCATTCCCCTCCTGTTTCAGCTTTGCCACGTAAGCTGGCTGGAGTCAATGGGGACATTGGGACAAGCAACCGGACGGTGGGGGCAGGTAAGGTAATATTTGAGATGGGTTAAACCCTCCGGGCTCTCTGGATGTGACCATCTTAGCTTCTCCTGAAGTCCTCTTGTCAGCTACCCACTACACACCTGATGAGCATCTCCGCATCACTCAAAAGTTCTCAAGCACGTCAAAGACAGGTCAAGCAAGGGATTATCAAGACATTTCAGAATCCAGGTTAGAAAGAGATCTGGGTCCACTTGAAATAATTCCTTTTTTTTTTAAAGCCTATGGATTCTGTAGTCATAGTCGGAAAGCGAACCAAACCTGCCCCCTCCCTTCTTTTCTTCCCTTTGGCCAAATGTGTGTGAATTCACTCAGTTCAATAATCTCAACAACTTCAAGCCAGGAGGGAGGGAATTTGCACAAGCCATCTCTTCACCCGTTTCAAAGCTGGCAGACCACCCCCCAAAAGTAGTGTGTGTGTGTGGGGGGGGGTTTGTTCAAACCCTCTTCTCGAGTTTCAGATCTTTCCATGACTGCATCCAGCAACCCACCTCCTTCCCATTCTCCCTTTGCCCCCCACAAGAGCTTTCTAAACTGGGCGGAGACGGTATCGGAGACCCGCGGACTGATCCTATCTCTGGATTTCTGTCCGGGAAATGAAACTTGGCTGAATTGAGTTGGGGTTTAGAAGAACCGGGAGGAATCTGGATCTCCTCGTGGTTCTCTTTCCTAGCATCCTTCCATACACTGAAGGCAAGGAGGTCCTAATTCCTTATTTGAGCCACGGCTCAATCAACAAGGGAGGGGGGGGAAATTCCTTGGAGCATACACAGAGTGCTCCGCAACTCAATCAGCGGGCAGATCCCAGAGCCAACCCTCCATGTGATCAGGGAGAGAGGCAGGTTCGATCCCCGTCTCACTTGTTAGGGTCAGCTTAGAAACCAGGGGCTGATGAGGTCTTCTAACCCCAGTCCTATCTCTTCTAGCCGGGGCTTTGGGGGGGGGGGCTTTGGGGGGGTCCTCTTGGCTCTCTTACCTCCTCGGACATCCGCAGCTTGGAGCAGAAGCACCGCCGAGACGAGAAGAGCGGGGAAAGCCGACTCCCAGAACCGCCCTTTCGTTTTCCACCTGGTGGACCACTGCCGACTCCTCTCCATGGTTCTCCCCAAAACACCGGGCGCGCCAACGGCCACCCCACTCGCCCTTCTCGCCGGGGACCCCCGGCTTCTTCTCTCCGTCCCGCTTGTATTCCAAGAGACGCTCGGCCTCGACCTCCCTTAGGGACCCATCGAGACTCCCGAGGACAACTGGGTTCAAAAAGAAGAGAAGAAGAAGATCCGCTCCCGGGGGAAAGAGTGCCGGCTGGAGGAGGTGGGTGGTTGGGGGGCGACTTCGGATGGTGGCTGCCGCTTGGTGGGGGTCTAACAGCGCCCGGATCCGGCTCTTCCCACTCGCCTCTCCAAAGCGAAAGGAGGAGAGGGGCTTCAATCCACACGCGAGGAGCGCAGCATCTCCACTAAAGGCGGCATCCCGCGAAGGGGGCTGGCCAAGAGGCGCACCGGGAAAGCGGCCGCGGGAGCGGAGAGAGAGCGAGAAGGCGGGCGGGAGGACGGACCGGCGGCCCCCTCCTCCTCCTCCTCATCCCCCGCCCTCCCATTCTATCCCCCTCCTCCCCCGCCCTCCCATTCTATCCCCCNGCTGTTTTATGACGATTTGCTTGGACCTAATTAATTCTCTAGGGTGTGGGCGGGAGTGGGCGGTATACAAATGCTAATAAACCTTGAAACCCTATTTTCTTCCTACCTTCTCTCCATCTCTCTTGAAAAATAATAAACTTTGTTTATAACTAGAATATCAAGATGCTTGTGTAGACATTTCTGCCAGCAGTGCAGAATCAGGATTCTTGTACTTTCCTCACATGATACATGCAACAACTTGATTTGGCAAACAAAGTGGATGCCTCCTGGCCCCAGAGGTGTTTCTCTCAAAACCATTAGCATGAATGATTCAGTCATTGAAGTTACTTCAATAAAATTACATGGGGTTTGGCTCATGGTAAAAATCTAACCTTGTTTACTTTTAAATAAACAATTAAGAAGCTATTTCATTTAATGTAAGACAAGGCAGTTTGTATTAAAAAAAAACAAATATAGAAACATGTTATTTGTATTATAATGAAAACTTGAATGAGCTGGCAAAATAACTTACTTTTCTTTGATTATACAGTTTTAGAATAATGACATTAATATAACTTCTGCCAAAAATTAATGATATAATATCCTTTATTGTTACAATTGGCTAATCGGTCATTTATCATACTGTTATCACACTTAATCACATGAAATGCAAAATCAGGCATTCTGATTATAAGATTGTAATACAAACAAAATCCATATTTAGCCTAAAACATTATGGTATTTTTTTTACCGTACCAGTTGGAAATTTATGAATGGCACAGAAATTTGCAAAGAGATTTGGCTTCAACTGCTGCAATTTCTGAGGGATTCTCTCAGTAAGCTTTAGGAAACTTCCCAATTCAACTTAACATGTCTTTTTTTTTGCCTTAGATCTCCTCTGCACTTGTGCAGATCACTCCTATATTGTAATATGATGCAGACACGACTTTAATATCCATCGTATTTTCCTCCTCTTTGCATTTTTAGCCAGTTTGACTTTTTAAGATTGTTTTTTGGAACACCAGGTACACTGTGTTTCAAATCTTAACTGACAAAATGTTATAAAAGGTGGTTGATCTTGGCAAAACTAAATGGATTTGGACGATATACCAGAGGGGTAAAATGAAAGGACATCTGGAAGAAGCAAATTATTCCTGCATTGTTATGAAAACAGCACGTAAATTGTTTCATGGCTACTGGACATCGAGCTTTGGAATTATTATGTTAATGCTTCCTTTCTTTCCCCTACCTTCCTTGGCAATTACAAATAATATGTGTGGTAGAATCTTGGATTTTATTTCCACTTGATGTACGTACACACACACACACACACACACACACACAGAGAGAGAGAGAGAGAGAGAGAGGGAGGGAGGGAGGGAGGGAGGACTGAAATGGAAAGTATGGAGAAGACACCAATTTTGAGATAAATTATTTTGAAAACTGGATGATAAAAGC